TGTACGCTACAGTCGCGGTATTGTCCGAGCGGACAAGTACGTGTTGACCCAGGAGCAACGCGTGGAAGCGGTGCAGGGCAAGGCGTACTGCCAGCAACTCGAGGCAATTGACATGCATGAGGCGCTGGGGTCCTGTCCAGGAGCCCGCGGCTGCATGTCACATGGCGCCCCAGCCCGTGGCAGAGGCATCTGTGGCGACGACAACATGCCTGGAAACTCGTTCTAGGGGAACTCCGGCCCGTAGAAAACTGAGGTTCCGCCACGGGGTGAAGGTCTGACGGCAGGTCGGAGTTATTGGAACCTGATCTCGAGAGTGAGCTAATATTAGCCAGTCGTCGAGATAATTCAGGATGCGAACCCCGTGTTCGCGTAGGGGAACAAGGGCTGCCTCGACGACCTTCGTGAAGACGCGAGGAGACAGAGCCAACCCGAATGGGAGAACCGCGTACTGGTATGCCTGCCCCTCGAAAGCAAACCGAAGAAACGGTCTGTGTCGAGGTAAAATGGAGACATGAAAGTAGGCGTCCTTCAGGTCTATCGCTGCAAACCAATCCTGTGGCCGCACGCATTCGAAAATGCGTTTGGCCGTGAGCATCTTGAACGGCAGCCTGTGAAGGGAGCGGTTCAAGACGCGCAAGTCCAGGATTGGCCGTAACCCACCGGTTTTCTTGGGGACAATGAAGTAGGGGCTGTAGAACCCTGACCTCATCTCGGCTGGAGGGACAGCCTCGATTGCACCCTTCGCCAGCAGGGTAGCAACCTCCGCTCTCATGACCGGGGCATTGCCACCGACCATAGTAAAGTGGACTCCCCTGAAGCGGGGAGGAGACCGTGCGAACTGAATCGCATAGCCGAGCCTGATAGTTCGGGCGACCCAACGGGACAGATTGGGGAGCTCTAACCAAGCCCCCAAAAACTGATCCAGTGGAATCATCCGAGCCACAGACGTCCCCCCGGAGGGGCAGCGAAGCGGAGTGACCGGCACAGGCAAGGGTGGCATAGCGGCCCTGAGCGTGTGCACAGCCAAGCTCCGCGCCCTGACAGAGGAGACCAGGGAAGGACCAGCGTTCCACGGGGGTCTGCTCTGCCAGGGGTCTGGCGATAGAGGGGGATGAGAGTGGTGTGGTCCGGGGACAGCACGCACTGTCATCCTCGCCCTCAGAGACAGAGCAGGACGAGAGTGGCGAGGCACGGGGGCGTCGCACACTGTCATCCGGCTCTGTATGCTCAGTGATGGACATTTCGGTTCTTTCTTTAACCACATTAGGGTGCTGCCCACCCGTGGGTGAGCAGCGGGGAGTGGAGAACAAAAGTTTCTCCCCCGGCCCTCCACCGGGGGAAGGAGGGGGCCTGCAACCGCCTCCTGGGAAAAAACCGACACCATCACTGAGCAGCCCGTCTCAGGAACGCCGCTTGGCCTGGCGTTTAGCGGGGCGCGGGGCCTGAGGGGGCTGGGGCGCCTTCCTGCGGCTTCCTCCACGACGCGGAGGCTGCTGCTGGGGCCGTGCGGGAGGGGCGGGAGCTGCAGGAGGGCGCCCTCGGCGGCGAGCAGGCTGAGGCGTCTGTGCCGACGGCTGGGTGGAGGCAGCAGCTGGCCGTCGGGGCAGAATATGTTTGATCGCCTCAGACTGCTTCTGTGCGGTCGAAAACTGCTGGGCGAAGTCTTCAACCGCTCCGCCGAAGAGGCCGGCCTGGGATATGGGGGCGTCGAGCAGACGAGTCCGCTCAACGTCCCGCATATCGGCCAGGTTCAGCCAAAGGTGACGCTCCTGGACCACATTATTGGCCATCACCTGACCCAGGGAGCGTGAGGCCACCTTCGTCGCCCGGTGAGCGATGTCAGTGGCGGCACGCAGTTCGTCGAACGTCCCTGGGTCAGTCCTGCCCTCGTGCATGTCTCTGAGCAGCTGGGCCTGGTAGACCTGTAAGGTGCTCATCGCATGCAAAGCGGCAGCCGCCTGTCCTGCAGCTCTGTGAGACCTCGCCACCATAGATGACGAGAATCTACAGGCCTTGGACGGGTGCTTAGGATTACCACGAGAGGATGCGCTCTGAGGACACAGTTGCATCGCAACAGAGCGCTCCACCGGGGGAATCCCAGTGTACCCATGGACAGCTGCGCCATCGAGGGGAGGAAAGGCGGAGAAAGCTGACGAGCGTTCACGGGAGGTCAAAGGAGCCTTCCATGATCTCGACCAGGGGCGTCGGACTGGGGGTAAAACCAGTACTGATTACCAGGGCCCCAAGGGGAGAGAGGGCCCTTGAAAAGTCTGGAATATATTGTATTTGGAACATGGGGGCCCATCAGGACTGCCTATACATAGGGCCCGGGATCTTGTGCTACGCCCCTGATCTCGACAGCTCCTCATGCAGCTCCGGGAAGAAAGGAATTGGGGTTGGCTGAGGCCGTGAGGCGGCAGCCGCACCCAAAAACCAATCATCCAGCCGCGAGCGCTCGGGACAGGGCGGAGGGTTCCACTCTAGCCCGATGCTCACGGCTGCCCGGGACAGCATGGCTGTCATCTCGGGATCCGACACGGGCAACGCTGGGACTCCCGAAGGAGGCAACGCAGCCGCATCCTCACTTCCCGAAGAATCGAGCCCACCTTGTGATGCCGCGATCGACATCGTGTCATCCTCTGGAGCGCCGAATGAAACACGCGGGGCTTCCAAAAAAGGACCCGCCTGAGTCACCGCGGCACTCGCGGGTTGCAACACAGCGGAGGGGGGCGTGGTCCGAGGACGCATCGTCGGATTGCTCCACACAGTCACCCTCAGATCACCCTGTCCCCCAGCCGAACTACCACCTCTCGTGGAGGAAGCAGAACGGGTGGTGGACGCGGGGACTCTCACTGAAAGATCATTGAGTCTTAATCTTAGTGTTGCGATGGCCATGTTCCCACAGAAGGAACATGAGTCATCCACGAGCGCTGCCTTAGCGTGTTCAAAGCCCAGACACACAAAGCAGCGCTCGTGCCCATCAGAAGATGACAAAAATCGACCGCAACCAGAAGAACACGGGCGAGACATCTTTAAAAAGACGTGCCACGTGCAGCTCTTTTAGGAGAGGAAAAACTCTGCAATGCTGAGGCGACCAGGGAGAATACACAAAGTCAGGCAGACCACTGCACAGATCGCAGGCAATGTGAAGACTCGCTGGGTACCGCCGTCACACCAACACTGGAGAGTTCGCTCGTCTCGAAGAGGTGAGTCACTTGTAAACTCAGGTCTTGTGGCTGTGGAGTGAAGAGGTTCTCTTGGCTCCGAAGCGAAAACATGATCTGCTGTTGCAGGTGTCTCTCCTTAAATACCCACGCGGTGGGGCGGAGATACATTATGCAAATTCCGCAGACCCATGGCATTTCTTTGCCATTGGCTCGTTTTTTAATACTCGAAGAGGATTGGCTTTCTGGCGAAACCCCCATTCTCCGTCATCCGACGTAACTCGGAGTGACTTTGAAAGGGAACTATATACTTCCAGGAGCTAAATGATAAATATCTTATTTCCTATGTTCTCTTTTTTAAAGTTAGTCTTCATCTCTAGAAGGAATGCATTTTTCCCTGTAAGTGTGACAGTCAATACACAAGTAGTTTTAAAGCGAACACCAGGGAGAAATATTGAGTTTTAAGATGGCTTTTGGAATAGGCTTTGCCTTCTGAGAGTAAGTCTTGTTCTCCTGGGGATTTATTGACACTAAGCTTTATTTTATTGCATTTTTGGATACAAAACCTCAAGTTATACCTAACCAACCATCTGTTTTCATCTTTAAAACCTAGTTCAGTGTTTGTTTGGGGTTTTTTCGGGGGGTTTTTTGTTAGCAATAACAAAGACAAAATGAAAAATATGCATTATGGTGATAAATAAATGGAGGGAATAAAACTAAGGGAAAAAAAGAAAGAAGTAAAAACAGCCTCATGATTTCTGAAGGATCATGTAACACTGAAGACTGGAGTAATGGCTGCTGAAAATATAACTTTTCCATCACAAATTAATTACATTTTAAAATATATTTAAACTGGTGTTATAATGTTTCACAATATTACTGTTTTTACTGTATTTTTGATCAATTAAATGCGTCCATGGTAAGAATAAGAGACTTTCAAAAATGTTAAATAATAAATGCAAAACATTTTTTACTATATTGTGCCATTTCATTCTGAGTAAAATGGGCTAAAATTAATATATAGCAAGGCTAAATATTGACTTAATTTAAAGGTGCAGTAAGCGATTAAAAAAAAAAAAACATTGTTGAAAAGTGCATCGGACGGACACATTTGTAATATATTAGTTACTTGGACTATCGTGTTATGTATGGAGCTGTTCATGAAAACTGTTTTATTTTCTGGGATGGAAGGGATGACTTTGCCATCGAAGGAGTAGAGGAGCTAAACAACAATTAGACATTAGACCTGAATTATCATAGTAACACAAATTGCTTTCACTTATTGAAGACATCATACCCTCGGGCGGCAGGCACAGCAGAATCCACCATAGTCGTTGCCTGTAGCGTGTACATGTGGTGTACATAGCGTGTACATGTGGGGGTGGAGGTATCAAGATAGGGGTGTGATCCTTTTGGGTAGGGGTGTTTGTTTTGGTGATTTCAAATATTAACAACTCTTACCAGAAATCACTTACTGCACCTTTAAAGGACATTTTTGCCAAAGCAAAAAGTGTGTACAAATCAACAATGCATCCTTGTTAGAAAAGCTAGGTTTTCTGTGTTATTCATCATAAGATCAATGTTTCAATTCATTGTTTTTCCAGACTCTCTAATCTGGTGCCTTTTAATTGATGTGCAAATGTGTGAGGTTGCAATTTACATACTTTTGAGGTCAACATCGCCCTGAGTATTCTGGGCAGTATGTTGGGCAGATTCTGCAGTGGAGCGCACAGAAACTAAATGTACTGTCTATTGTTATGTTTCTCTCTGGGGGCGCCGGCTTTGAACACACTGCTCTTATCTCCGTCATCCTCTTGTTCTTGTTGTCTTTCACAGAGGGTCAAGAGGTGAAGGTGGGCGAGTACAACGCCATTGCAGATGTACTGGACCTTATCAACAACACCATCAGGTTCCAAGGTAGGAAAAGCCCCGTTTGTGTGTGTTTGCGGGTCAGCGTTTGAGTGAGAGAGAGAGACAGAAGGTTCACACGCCTGCCAATGTTGTGTACCCACTGTTCTGTGTGTGGTCATCTGAATAATTCAAGAGTTATTTTTCTGTTTGCCCACATTGACATTCTTTTGTTTTGTTTTTTTTCCTTATTCCCTGGTTTTTTTTGTTGTTGTTGTTGTTGTTGTTTTTTTTTAATTGCCTCTGAGGAACACAGTGGTGGACAGCAAGTAAAACGTTTAATTGTCTTACTTTAATGGAACTTGTTAAGAGGGAATCTGAAGAACTCATTTGGCATACTTAACTCTTTCCCCACCATTGTTGAGATATTCCATCATTTATGACAAAACACTTCCCAGCCAATCGATGAGTTTTTCCAGCAAACCGTGTTTTTACTGTTATAGGGTAGGGCCGCAGATCTTGTGAAATAGTACAGCATCTCCGGATCCAAAAACAAGCAAAGAAAATGATCTGTGTAAACCAGAAGAAGCGGATAGAAGTTGTTAATGCACAAGTAAGCTAATGTGATCACCAAACATGAAACAGCATATAAATCAAAACTGCCCAACGTTACTGAGAAAAGTGCCGAAACCTGCAAAGAGGTATAGGACTGTGCAAGCTTTGATGGACTCAATCTATGTTTTTATCATCGTTCTGAATCCGATCTGGACAAAATCTTTGACAAAACATAATTTTCTTAGCTTTTTGTTCAAAATGTTTTTTTGAAGAAACTTACCCACATTCAAAGTGTTGATAAAAAAAAAATATGAATGAAGCTGAATAAAATCTTTTAGGCTATGTTCTTTCTTTTGATATATTCACTGTTTACATATTCACACAAATTATTCTGGGGGCCATGAAATATTTGTGTATAATATGATAAAAAATGCTGGCGCTGGCTGGAAACTTAATAATAATGAAAAATAATACTCTGGCGGGAAAAGAGTTAAGAGGGAAAAAAATGCCCAAACACTCACCCCAACTGAGATTGTTTTCTAAATGAAAAAGAGTAAACCATTTGCTTTTGAGCTAATAGCAGTAAAGCCTCACAGTTGTACTTGAAATCACCAAGGTTGTCAAGTCACGCAAATAACTCTTGACTCATTTTGGTGACTCATTTGGTTTAAGTGCTCTACTGTCTTCCAACTTCTCATTATGATGTGAGATCTACCGGTAATCGCATCTTACATCACGGTCACCGTTTTTAAACCCATCCACAAATATTATTATGTAACATTGTGCAGAAATAGAGCTAAAACTGTATGTCACATGAGTGGCATTTTACAATCTTAGTCATTTAAATTACAGAGGGAAATGTTGAAAGCTTTCTCTGAGATGACGTTCTTTGCGATGACTCCAAGAGTAACTGACTGTGAACCATCATGACTCTCGTAGGTGTTGAACCGCCGAAGGATCGGACGTTTGTGCGTCTGCAGCGCCGGCAAATAAACGTCCCCCTCTACAGCATCCTGTCCACCATCACTATCGTGGGCATGCTCATGGCAGGAGCCTTCCTCTTCTTTAACATCAAAAACCGCAACCACAGGTCAGGGCTGAGCGAGACTACGACAGGAAATAGTTCAAGAGTGAGAGAGACTATAGTCTAAGACCACACTGTAAATCTGGGATCTTTCGTTTCATGTTGAACTCAGTTTTAGGATTTTGAAAAATGTCAAATAAAAAAATGATGATAGATAATGAAAAATCTTGAGCACCAAATCAAAATGATTTCTAAAGGATCATGTGACACTGGAGAAATGGCTGCTGAAAATTCAGCTTTGCAGTACATTTTTGAGAGAATTGTTTCGATATTTTTGTCAGATATTCTTGATTCCCAGAAGATGCTCTTTCATTCAATCTTTTATTTCAATTATTATTTTGATAATATAAATTGCAATGGGATATTTTGCATAAGTTTTGAAATAATGCAAAATAAAGGCATTTTTACTAGTGGCTTTGGGCTTTTGGATCCCACAGTATATGATACAGTCATGGATGTAGATGCTCATTTAATTGCAGTTGTTAATAATAAATGAAATGTGAATATTTAATGTATCGGCTGTGTGCTTCCCTCCATCTGCAGGCTGATTAAAATGTCGAGTCCCTATATGAACAACCTGATCATTCTGGGTGGCCTGCTATCGTACGCCTCCATTTTCCTCTTTGGTCTGGATGGATCTTTTGTGTCAGACAAGGAGTTTGAGACCCTCTGTACTGTGAGTAATGACTGATTTCTGTGAATCAGATATGAATATGTCTAGAGACCATGGGTTAGTTGTCTTTTTTGTTTTGTCCCATACGTTTTCTGAGGGTACATTTATGTGCTGTAAAGGATAAATTGTCACAATGATAAGCAAACAATTGGAAAATTTGGAATTTGAATTGAAATGAAAATTGAATATGAAATTGGAATTTTAGTTTGAATGATATTGTTAATTATTCTAATTTAGAATTCCGTTGGTGTTGTAAACCAACATGCCAAACAAGTGCTAGAGAAAACGTCTCAGGTTACGTATGTAACCCTGGTTCCCTGAGAGGGAACGAGACGCTGCGTTTGAGACGCGGTGGGAACGCTCTGCGTGATTGCGTCATGAAGCACGTGTAAAATCAGTCCAATGGAAGCCCGATACGTCATGGGTGACGTCATAGACCAGGAAACTATAAATCACCCTTGAAAACAGACCACGACAGCTTCTGAAAAAGTCTGAAGCAAGTCGATCAGGGCATGCAGGAAGTATGGCAGGCAAACGCAGCGTCTCGTTCCCTCTCAGGGAACCAGGGTTACATACGTAACCTGAGACGTTCCCTTTCAAGGGAACTTCGAGCTGCGTTTGAGACGCGGTGGGAACCCCATACCCACTACGCCATAGTGACAAATGCCCGTTCTGTGTGAAGTCCTTGCGCACACTAAGAAGCAAGCAACCTCGCCCCAGGAGTGGAGAGGTCAAGGTCATAAAACCTGACAAATGTATGTGTAGAGGACCAAACTGCCGCATTACAAATGTCAAGAAGGGAAACACCCGAAATTAAGGCCGTAGAGGCCGCCATACTCCTTGTAGAATGGGCCCGTACAGCCATAGGTGAAGGCTGACCGGCCGCTTCATAAGCCAATGATATAGCCTCAACTATCCATTTGCTCATAACCTGTTTAGATGCAGGGCACCCTCTTCTTAGTGACCCAAAACATACAAATAACTGCTCTGACTTACGCCACAGGGCAGCTCTGTGAACGTAGGCATCCAATGCCCAAACTGGACATAACAGGTTCAGTTGTTCCTGATCTGGGGTATTAAAAGGTGGAGGATAAAAGGCCTGCAACACTATTGGGCCCCTAACATTAACTGGGACCTTAGGAATATAACCCGGTCTAGGGTATAGAAATGCTTTCACCATACCAGGTGCAAATTCCAGACATGACGGAGCAACCGACAGGGCATGCAAATCTCCAATTCTCTTGATAGATGAAATAGCAAGGAGAAATAAAGCTTTCAAAGTGAGGAATTTTTCTGAAACCTCTTCAATAGGCTCGAAGGGAGCCAGAGCCAGACCCTCAAGTACAATGGCTAAATCCCAAGCCGGTGCTCTAGAGTGCAGTGCAGGTCTCAACCTCAATGTACCACGGAGAAAACGAGTAATCAGAGGATCTCTCCCAAAAGAAGTACCCCCCAGAGGGGTATGATAGGCCGAAATAGCCGCCACATAAACTTTTAAGGTGGAAGGAGATAATCCAGCAGAGAAACGGTCTTGCAGAAAATCGAGAACTGAACCAACAGGGCAGTTAACAGGATCTAACTGACGCTCACCACACCAGGTGGAGAATAATTTCCATTTCAGTGCATACAGTCTTCTCGTGGAAGGAGCTCTGGAATGGAGAATGTCTCAACGACCTCAGTCGAGAGACTGGATTCTATGAGCCTGGCCCCCTCAGAGGCCAGGCCCACAGTTTCCACAACTCCGGTCGAGGGTGAAATATCGTGCCCCCTGCCTGGGACAGCAGGTCCCTCCTGAACGGAATCTCCATGGGAGAGCCGTCCAGAAGAGACAAAGTCCGAGAACCAAACTCGAGTCGGCCAGTATGGGGCTACTAGTAGCAGATGAGCCCCTTCCCGGCGAACCCTCTCCAGAACCTCCGGGAGCATAGATATCGGGGGAAATGCGTACAGGTGCAGCCTCGGCCACACCTGCACCATCGCATCCAGTCCGAGAAGAGCTGGCTGCGTGAGGGGGAACCATATAGAGCAATGCGTTGTACAAACGATGTGAAAGGTCGACTTGACTTTAGTTAGACCAAAGTTCTCCCTAAGAAGCTCCACCACCTCGGGGTGAAGTCTCCAATCCCCTGGGCCTCAGCCCCTGCCTCAACAGGATATCTGCTCTGATATACGAGACCATCAGTGTGTTGTCCGCCATTCGCCGAGCAACCACTCATGATCGCCCCCACTTGTGAGGGAAGCATCCGTCGATAGCAATATGCGTCGACAAGAAGCCCCCAACACTGGGCCTGGGCGAGGAACCAAGGTTCTTCCACATGACCGAAGCACGAAGGCATAGCCGCGTGACCTTGATCATGCGAAAACGTATTTCCCCTCGGAGAAAACCCCTTGGTCCTGAGCCACCACTGCAGGGGTCTCATGAACAGAAGGCCAAAAGTAATACGTTGGACGCAACTGCCATGAGACCCACCCGTCTGAAACTGTTTCACAGTGAGTGACTGGCCTAGATATACCCCATTACGGCTGTAAGAATTGCTACACCTAGAAAAGTGGTCCTCAGAGCACACTCTTCTTGGCGTTGAGAGGCAACTCCAACATCCTTAATGAGACAGAACGACATCTCGATGCCGAACTGCCATAAACTCAGATTGAGCTAGGAACAACCAATCATTGATGTAGTATAATACGCGAATGCCCTGGAGTCTCAGAAGAGCCAGAGCTGCATCCACGCATACTGTAAAGGTGTGGGGTAATAAACCTAGGCCAAATGGAAGAACCCGATAATGGTATGCTTCGCCCCCGAAAGCAAACCTCGGGAACCTCCCTCATCCTCTTTCGGAAACAATGAAGTAATGGCTGTCTGCTGGGAGGAGGAACCCCTTCTACAGCTCCTTTTGCAGAAGTGACAGTACTTCCTGCTCCATAACCAAAGCCTGCTCGGGGTCCACCAATGAGAGGAGGACCCCTAGAAATCTGGGCGAACGAGAACCGAACTGAATTCTGAAACCCTTTTCTATAGTGTGCAGGACCCACTGAGAAATATGTGGCAGTAGTTTCCACGCTGCCAGAAATTTACTAGGGGAACCAGTCTCTCAAGACTGGCCTCTGGATTTGTTTGAACAGTCACTACGGCGCCCTGAAGCGGCGAACCGGCAGGGAACAACCGAACTGACCATTCTACGACCCTCCTCAGAGGATCGTATGGGGATGCTGACACCTCGGTGCCCTGAACGGCGAACCGGCAGGGAACAACCGAACTGGCAGCGCTGCAACCCTCCTCAAAGAGTTGCACCCCAGAGGAAAAACGATTTCTCAAAACCGTCCCTTGGTTGAACAGTCACTACGGTGCCCTGAAGCGGCGAACCGGCAGGGAACAACCGAACTGACCGCTCTACGATCCTCCTCGGAGGATCGTATGGGGACGCTGACACCTCGGTGCCCTGAACGGCGAACCGGCAGGGAACAACCGAACTGGCAGCGCTGCGACCCTCCTCAGAGAGTCGCACCCCAGAGGTCGCCGAGGAGAAACGATTTCTCAAAACCGTCCCTGCCCCGGAGGAGCCCTCAGAAGCCTGATAGCCTTTTTTTTCTTTTTCGTTTTCTTGCGACAGGACTTCTTGTCTAAGCTTTATTAGAGATGATGACAGTCCTCAGATCTTGCCTACCTCTAACTAGCTTAGTTCCTACGACCCTCCTCGGAGGATCGTTGAAAAAAGCAGGCACTTCGGCGCCCTGAAACGGCGAACCGGCAGGGAAACGGAACTGACTGCTCTTCTTTTTTCTTATTTGAAGGCTCGTTTGGGGACACTGACACCTTGGTGCCCTGAAACGGCGAACCGGCAGGGAAACCGAACTGGCAGTACTGCGACCCTCCTCAGAGAGTCGCACCCCAAAGGGTGCTGAGGAGAAACGATTTCTCAAAACCGTCCCTACCCCAGAGGGGACCACCCTTAGAAGCCAGATCGCCTCGGCGTCAGGGCTTCTCCTTTGTCAAAGCTATTTTAGAGATAAAACAGTCCTCAGATCTTGCATGTCTCTAACTGGCTAGACTGCGACCGCCACCCAGGTACCCCTCAATTGCGGAGGAGCCCGAATGGCGACGCTCTGTTTTGCACTTTGTGCTGAGAGGAGCATAATAGTTCTCAGGAACATTAGATTGGTGAGGAAGAAACCTCTGGAACGCCGCTGAATGGTTTATTTCTTAGTTTTCTTGAAAGCGGAGCGTCCAGAAGAACAGACATAATTATATCTTTATTTTCCTTTATCTTTATATCAGAAAAACTTATATATATATACATATATATCACTCTGCGGCCACCAGCAGGAAACAACCGAACTGGCAGCGCTGCGACCCTCCTCAGAGAGTCGCCCCTCACATTCATCCATGTCCTTATATACTCTACCCACCAGCGCTGCCTATGTATTCATTATTAAGATGGCTGGTGGGTAACGTCGGGGTTAATAACGATAACGCCGACTCGGGAGAGAGAAAGCTCGCAAGCGTCTCTTTAACCCGAGGCAATGTCATACTATGATACTTAATACCCAAACATTACTATAGTCAGACATCTGGGGATTAAACACATAAAATACAAACTGGTTTATTCCACGATCTCGACACCTCAGTGTGGAGATAGGGAAAAACCACAGTCCCCGACGAGGAGGCTGAGATACAGAGTTTTCCTGTTTTAAGATACAGTTCATCTAACAAACTCTTCTTTATTTTCAATCTCATAATGTTCAGCTGGCCAGTAAATATTTAACTGGCAACAGCACTAGATAAAACCTCCTTTTTTTCTTTAAAAAAGCTCCTCTTTATTCAACAGAGTTATGAGCTGGAAAATGTATTCATTGAAAACTCAAACATCTGCCTTTTTATAAAGATTTGTATTTGTTTTCTTTCTTTTTAAACAAAACACTAACGATACCAATTCCTCGGAACTGGAAATCGCAGCACACTAGATCTGGCATGTGAAAGCTGAGAAAGGGCGGAGCCCGTCCCAACCCCCGCTGTCAGATCCGTTTTCGAACCCCGAAATACGAGCCGTCTCCGAGCCTCGGCAACAGAGAGACCCGCTCGGGGAACGCGAACCGAACCGTCCTCCTCGAAGAACGCCCGGCGAGAGCGGAGCGTCCTCACGGACAGCTTCTCGCAATGCACAGTCAGATCCCTCGAGAAATGACTGTTGCATGCTCCACTCCCAAACAGCAACAAAAAGCTGATGTGTGTCCCCACCCGTGATGTAACGAGGGCAGGGAACAACACAACGTCTATAATATTGCTTCGCTCGCCATAATGATAGATAGTGATATATATATTGGGCTTGACAAACAACAATAAATAGACAAGGACAGAATCACAGAGAGCGCTTGCTGAAGACTACAGAAGCTGTCGTGGTCTGTTTTCAAGGGTGATTTATAGTTTCCTGGTCTATGACGTCACCCATGACGTATCGGGCTTCCATTGGACTGATTTTACACGTGCTTCATGACGCAATCACGCAGAGCGTTCCCACCGCGTCTCAAACGCAGCTCGAAGTTCCCTTGAAAGGGAACAAGCATTTGTGCAACTGGATATCTGACTCAAAACCTTTCTGAGATTTCGAGCTTCCCCTGTGCCAACCTCCACGGGGACAACTGTCCCTGGTCTCCTCTATATTTGAATCCGAACACTTTTCACCTCTACTCAGGCTGTATTACCAAACTGAGTAAGCATGATTGGATGTGTCTCGTCACGCCTCCACTGTCTGTTTGCATGTGACCATAATCCACCTTTTAATTATGAGGCTTTGGCTACTGCAGTAACTCCAGTCACAGGGGAAATAGCTCACAAATGTGTTGAGCAGGACACATGCTACCTGCCTGAGACGGGCTCTGTTCTCTACGGCCTGTTGAAGGATGGGGTGAATTTGGGCAATTAATAATCTTTTTTCTTGGACTCAAAGACAAATGTTTAGGACTCAACAATAAGGACTTTTTCCGCTAATATATTTTGAACATTAGCAACATATTTTTATGTGTCAGAGAGAAATTCATTATTATATTTACAATCAATTAGAAATTAATTATTTCTATTTTTAATTAATGTTTTCGGTCACACTTTAGATTGGGGGCCAATTTTCACTCACTATTAACTACGACTTTTGCCTCAATAAATTCCTAATTACTGCATATTAATTGTTAGTACGGTAGTTGTTAAGTTTAGGTATTGGGTAGGATTAAGGAATGTAGAATATGGCCATGCAGAAAAGGGCATTAATATGTGCTCAATAAGTACTAATAAACAGCCAAAATTCTAGTAATATGCATACTATTAAGCAACTAGTTAATAGTGAGAATTGGACCCTAAACTAAAGGGTTACCAAGTTTTCTTTACCAATAAATACAGTGATCCCACTTCTACTATCAGAAAGCAAATCGGGTGGCAGGGTGAATTCTGTGGAAGACTTGTTCTTTTCTTTTTGTCCTCTCTTCAACTTCTGACCCTCTTCCACAGATCTAGTGTTCTTTATTCTGAGCTCCTCTGGGAAAGTAATTCTCAGTATCTATAAGGCAGGACTGTCATTACATCTTGTTTTGTTTAGATTTGATGTGGTTTTATGTGATGTATCGAGTGTTGCGCTGGATTCTACAGAATTAAATTAACTCAACATGTGATTATGAATTTATAGTTGTCAGATATGTTAATAGTTGCAGCTGTAAAAATGGTCACATTTTTTTATAAACCTAAATTAGATTGTTGTAACTTGTTGTAACTATATTTTTATGGTTTTGCAGTTTCTGCTGCTTTGTATTCTATAGACTGGTGTTACAGTCTAATCTTGGTTTTTGGGGTAGCATTCCAGTGCCTACATTATAATAACTATTGGTTTGTAACAAGCCATGTCTTACTTTCACATTTAACGTTTTTAGGTCCGTACATGGATCCTCATTGTGGGTTACACAACAGCGTTTGGCGCCATGTTTGCGAAGACCTGGAGAGTGCACGCCATCTTCAAGAATGTAAAGATGAAGAAGAAGGTGAGAAATAGACTTTTAAAGCATTTCAGTTACAACATAGCACTCTATTTATATCTTAAAGTAAACCTCACAAAGCAACATTACAGGTCCAGGTCACACTGGCACATGACACCAGCGAAAAAACAAATATACCGTTTCAAATTATCATGATCAATGAAAATTATTTAATTTCATTAATAATATACTGGAAACAGATACACTAGCGTTCAAAAGTTTGGGGTCAGTAAATGTTTTTGTTTTTGAAAATGTCCTCGTGCTCACCAAGGAATACAAAACTGAAATATTGTGAAATATTATTACAATTTTAAATAACTGTTTTCTAAATAATATATTTTAAAATGTAATGTATTCCTGTGATGGCAAAGCTGCATTTTCAGCATCATTACTCCAGGCTTCAGTGTCACATGATCCTTCAGAAATCATTCTAATATGCTGATTTTGCTGCTCAAGAAACATTTCGTATTATTATACAATTGTGCTGCTTAATATATAGTGTATATATTTTTTAGACCATGATACATTTTTACAGGATTCTTTGATGAATACAAAGTTCAAAAGAACAGCATTTATTTGAAATAGAAACTTTTGTAACATTATAAATGTCTTTACTGTTACTTTTTATCAATGTAATTGCAGATCAAAACTATTCATTTCTTTTTTTTAAATCTTACTGACCCCAAACTTTTGGTCATATGGCAGGATTAATTGGGTTCCAGTGTGGCAGAACACACTGGAACTGGTATAATTTGTCATCTGGCTTACAATGATCACATTTCACTGCAGTTTTATGGTAAGACTTTTATATTTTATTATTTTTGAAGAATTATGATACAAAAAAAAAAAAAAAAAACTTGATGAAATTATACTGCAGTTTATACGTGGATGTTGTAATGGAGATGTAGATAATGAGAGGGAGAAACAATGAAAGAGAGAGATATTTGTAGAAGAAGAGACAGGTTCCATGCTTAAAGCATCATGGGAAAGCAATGTTGCCACTGGGCTGTCAGCTGTCTCATTTTTCAACTGCCAAAAAGCTAAAATATAGGATTGCTCTCTTCAATGAAGGTCAGTTTGCTGTCTCCATGCTCAGATTCCTGACATATCAAGAACCATCTGGTACTGCCAGTAGGGGTGTAACAATACATCGATATGGATCGATACATCGATCAAAAGTCTAACGATACGATGCATCGATGCAACACATAAAATATCGATTATACGGTACCTTTATTTTGACACTCTCCATATCCTCACCTAACTTTTCTCCGCTGAAATAGACGCCTGACAAGATTGACTGAACCCTTTGTCACAAAAGCCGGTATTTTCCACTGTCAAGCAAGTACTCCTCGCTGCAGACTGTAGCGCGGTGACGTCACGTATATACAATACGTCACGTACGTACGTCACGTATGTGTTACCACGCATGCGCCATATCGCGGCGACAGCGCATGCGCGTTACGCGGTTACGTCACGTGTTTTGACGTCCCGCGTCAATTTGACATAATATTTAACAAAAATGTTAATGTATTTAAAAACTCTAAAGTAATAATGAAAGCAGCAAAAAGAAGTAAAACACACATCCATAGTTTTAACTATGCCTGATTTAAGGTAAACTTATGAGAAATTTTAGAATGTATTATTGTGTAATATCTGTGTAGTATTTTATTTAAAGTTTATTTTTACATTCTATTGAATTGAATGCCTTTATTGTCATTGTACTTTACAATACAACGAAATTGGGATCACTCTCCACTGGTGTATACAATAAATACATTTAAATAATCCTTACAGTACATAAAATAATAGATATAAATAAATCAAAAATAAAAACAGTATAAAATCAGTATAAAGTTGAATTAAAACAGTGCATTTGGAAATAAGCTATTTTTGAATCTGGTGGTGCTGGATTGTATAGACCTATAACGCCTACCAGAAGGCAACAGTTGAAACAAAAGGTGACCTGGATGAGTATTGTCCTTGATGATGTTTTTGGCTCTTGAGAGAGTGCGACAAAGTGCAATGTCTGACAAAGATGGTAAAGGGCATCCTATAATGTTTTCTGCAGTCTTGATGATTCTCTGCAGAGCCTTTTTGTCGGCAGCAGAACACGCAGCAAACCACACAGAGATGCAATATGAAAGAATGCTCTCAATGGTGGATTTATAAAAGGACACCAGCAGCCTTAGATTCATTCTGTCTTTTATTGCACTTCACTTTGTAAATTACAAAATTACTGTAAACACTGATGGCACCTTATATATTTCTTATTTTAATCATTCCCCTTTAATAGTTAATAATTGTTTATTTTTGTGCATTATATAGGCTATCATAAAACATCTATTCCAATATTGAAGTTAAACAGCACATTGTCAATCTCTGTATCCGATATTATGCATGCCAACTCAAAAAAAAACTCATAACAGTCATAACTTTTATTTCAAAACAAAGATAATTGTGTAAAAGAAATATGTACAAATACAGATAATCACATACATCTGTACACACACAGACAGACACACACAAGCACAGAGACAGACACGCACACAGAGACAGACACACACACACACACACACACAAACACAGACAGAGACACACAGAGACAGACAGACACACACACACACACACACACAGAGAGAGAAAGAGAGATACAGACAGACAGACACACACACACACACACACACACACACACACACACACACACACACACACACACACACACACACACACACACACACACACACTCAGCTTGAAATTCCCCTCCATCATTGAAAAAACAATCAACTGAGCATAACCCTCAACCTCCTTATCAGAATAAAATCAACGCAGGACTCCCCTTCTGCCATCACCCACACACCCAGCCCCAGGTGGGCAGTCCTCGTATATTGCAGTGCAAGCACAGAGTTAACGAGAAGGGCACCCGGAACTCTTGCTTGTATTGCTGGAAAATGCACTCCAGTTCACAACACCTAATTTAGATAAAATACAGAACAAACAATATAGATCATTTTGAAGAAAGGCATTAATATAGTACAGAGTCATACAAGGAATTATATATATATATTTTTTTTTTTTTTTTTTAAACAAAGTTATTGGCTTTGTCTGTAAAGTACCTAAGAGACTTTTATTTATTTATGAACAACATAAACTAGTTTAAAAAAAAAAGTTATGCTGTTTAAATGATAAAAACAACTAAGGAGAATCACAATGAATCTTATTTGAGCAAAATACAATGTTCAACTCCATTACTTTAATTAATTTCACCACAAATGTATTTAACATAACTTACGTACTGTAAGTGTACTACTCACTACATTCACGAATGTAACTTTTACAGTACGATCTGATACTGAGGAACAACATTTCTTTTGCAATGGATGGAACAATCAACTACATTACTTACATAAGTCTTTCTGCTCTATTTGAAGACATCTTTCAAACCTTAATTTGTTTAAAGGCGAATTAAGACTTATACATATCATTTTAAGACTCGCTGAATCTCGCTGAAGTCATTTTGATAATATGAGATCATAAAACATAACATTTTTTGTCAAATCTAAAACATTTCTGATGCGTTAACACAAAAGAACAATTGTTAAAACAGCATAAATAATCCTTATTGACTTACTGCCATCGAATCCATCGCCGGAAGTGATTGTAATGAACTGCGCGTGCGCAAATGCGTATAATTTGCGCGTGCGCACATGCGTCTACTTTGCGCATGCGTGGTAACACATACGTGACGTACATACGTGACGTGTATACGTGATGTCACCGCGCTACAGTCTGCAGCGAGGGGTATCTCCTGTCAAGGCATCGCGAGTTCATGTTTTACAGCAGAAACGACAAGGACCCTTGTTTGTGAAACAGTGCGCAGTATTCAGGTCAGGTGACAAGCCTGCTAGTCACTTTGAAAAGACGCGCTAGCTGAGAGGAGTTTCGTCAAAGCTGATTAAAAGTTATCGAGGATGGATTTCAACGAGCTTGATGAACCCGTGATATCTTCTTCATGGCGTAAAAGGAAAATAAGAGCTGAAACTTTTTCACGGAATCTTGCTAAAACAGCAGGTTAGTGGTGAGGGAAAAGCTCTCTGTATCGCGTGTACGTTATTCACAACAACAAAGTTTGACAGGCGTCTAGATGTCAGCTGAGGAGATTAACATTACAAAGATTAAGTGTTTTATTAAGTATCGTAGCAATTACTAGGCTTTGTTTAACTCTGAAACATGAAATGTGGAGTTATCTGCTTTTGCCACACACAAAAAAATATATAGCTATAGCCTATATATAAAAAAATACTTTCAATGCACTTTAATTTAATAATTTACCTGTTTTTTTTTGTTATTATTACTTAATCAAAACAACCTCTTCTGTTAGTTCATTTGCAAAAACAGATAACTCTGTTTTTACTTGTAACTTGTAACAAACAACTTGTAAATGTCCCAATTGGGAGAGGGTGTGCAATTTTCAAAGAGTTTAATTAAACTTTCATATATTTTTGGATGCATTTGTGAGTTAATAAACGTAACTGGTTGTGTAAACTTGGCACATAATATCTAAATATCGATAAATCGATTGATAACCCTGAATCGAATCGAATCGTAATCGTATCGCGGAATTTTTTTAGGTATCGGCAATAATCGTATCGCTGGCTGAGAGAATCGATATCGTATCGTATCGTGATGAACTGTCCGATTTACACCCCTAACTGCCAGTGCTAACCAATGAATGTCTGATCTCTTCTAAAGAACAATGTCTTCCTGCTCCGCTAGACAAGGTTTTCACAAGCCTTCGTTTGAATTTCCTCCGCAAGAAAAAGCATCACACTATGGGGAATAGTGCAGTGGGTTTCTTTTGAACTGTAGCTATACGCACAAGCGCATCCATGCAGGTCTTTAACACGACAGATTTGTGCATGCACACTGACCTCCTTTCATACGCTCTTTCTCTCCCTGCTCTTGTTTTTCAATGCAGCGTAAGAATGTGGCGACTGAGGCAGCTG